AATATGATAAATCACAATTAGAATGAAAAATCATCACATTCTGCTTTATCAGAATAGTAAAATATATTCATCACCAGTGCAGGGGCGGATCCAAGAACAAACAAGGGGGGCCATATTTGAAGTATAAAAAAATTAACCAAACGTACTATGCTGTATTTAAGGGCCATTTTCCAAAAAGGCTCATCAGGCCTCTTAAAAATTGTTGGGCCAAAAATATTTTTAGGCCCAATTGTTTTTTTCTGGGCTTATCCAAGGGGGGTGGGTGGTTGGGCCCCTGCCCCAACTTCCAGATCCGCCAGTGCCAATGTACTATTAAGCAATTATTGCTCGGGAACCTTCTTATTCTCCCCTAAACTATATTTCATTAAATTCATTTTATCGATGGTTCTTGGTTTTATATTGAACAGTGTTGACTATATTCATGTTTACATATTCCCTTTTCTTCTTGTTTTCTATTTTAAATTTTATAGCAAGATAACCATACCAATGTCCACATTTGGATTGTTTGAGAGGCAATTATATTTGGTCACATTTATTAGGTCTTGTCTACCATGCAGTTGAAGGTTATGCCTCCCCATGCTCAATTGATCTCTGCAAATAATTTGATTGATCCGTAATTTTTAGATCGAGTGAAACATTAGAGTGATTTCGCTCATAAGTGAAATGACAACTTATTGTGCATAGCTATAGGTTGTAAGTGTTAGTGACTACTCCTATTCGTGATAAGATTTCAGGTGGTAATTTACATAAACATCTCCCATGATGCATCGCTTTGGAAGGGACAAATTTTCATTGGCCCGCCGAACGAGTCTATTACTTTGAACATTTCTCAGCTTCTGATCTTCCATCAGCCCTCAAGCATAGTTATATGATCCAATCTATTCAATAATCAGAAAGATAATCGGAGATTTAAAGTAACATTATTTATATTTTTTCGATCTTCGATGGTGTCTGAGCAATTTCTGGGAAATCAGTGACGTCACTGGAATTGGACAGCATTTTCAACTACAGATTTATTCGGATTTGGGGATTATAGTTCAATAAGCATTGTTATATATCTGAATTACATACATACCTATCGTTGGTACAAATGCAACTCTACATAAATGTTTAATAGAGTTGCAGTGCGGCATGAAAATAGCACCCTTGTGTAGTCCAATGGGAAAGAACCCGGATGTAGATAAAATTGTACCATACATGAGAGCTCTTCAAACGGGAGGTAACTAAACTGAACTAAAATCAATTCTAATGTTCTTTTCAGGAAGAATGAATTATTTGCTCCTCCAAATTCCTTGGATTAGATAATAATATGACTTCATGCTAAATATCACTATGATTCTCTACCAATAACTATGTTTGTATGTCTTAACGAGATAAGTAGTTTCTCACACAAATAATGTTTTATAAGTTATGGCTCCTTATAAATGGGTAGAGCTGCGCGACAAAGGATGACACACTTTATACATTACATACATAAGGGATTTATAAACATGAGAGATGCGAAATCTCTCTATTATCTGGTCCTTTTTTGAAGGTATCTACAATGTGGTCACCAGATTAAATGGTTAACATAACTTCATAATGAATATATGCATTAAAGACAAATGAATGTGGTAATATGTATATTTACTAGAGAATAATTGATATGGTAATACAGTGGTGTAGCCAGGATTTGACAGAAGGGGTTCAAATTTTTTCGGCAAAATCTTTTTTGAGCAACCTAACAGAGAATTTGGTGAAAACTTTTTCAAATTTGCTTAATCCCTGCCTAGATTGCTAAAAGTTTGCCAAATTTGCTTAAATTTTGGTTCATATTATTAATTTTTGCCAGTTTGCTGGAATTTAAAGTTTTACCTTTACCAGTGACAATTCTCCTCTGCAAGAGCAAAATCATAACAAGTGAAATATCCCAATTTTTGACCAATTTCGTTCATTTGGAACATTTATGGGCAAAAATCTAGAACTTTTTTTCAGCAAAGGCTTGATAAAATCTCTCTAAATTCTATGTTTTTACCACTTTGTTGATAGGTCAGAAAAATAAATCCAAAATAAATAGCTCAAGGACATTATCAGACATAGACTCCCCCCAATTTAATTCAAGCATAGGTTGTGTAATTTAATTGTCTATTTTCCATTACTTGCCAGTGCAAACCTATTACCGCCCATCTCAAAATAGAATATAGTTTTTCTTTATCTTTTCAAAATAGTTTTTCTCTATTCTTAGTCATTATACTCAAGATAAAGTTATACATCTCACTTATTTCCATCTTTGCATATACCTCAAATATCTAAAGTAATCAAAAAACGATAAATTACTGAAATACTGCAAAATATTAATTCAAAATTTTGGGGGGGGGTCACAGGGGCGCATGAACCCTCCGAACCCCCTCTCCCTACCGCCCTGTTATATCAAGGTAATCAGTAACTGAAGTTGGACAAGGTTGAGTAGGATCATCAAATATTCCTCTAAGACAATGATACTTTTCCTGGTGACATCCCATGCCCAAATAATATGCCTACAATTATTCAAGTATAATATGCCTACAATTATTCAAGTACAATATGCCTACAATTATTCAAGTATAATATGCCTACAATTATTCAAGTATAATATGCCTACAATTATTCAAGTATAATATGCCTACAATTATTCAAGTATAATATGCCTACAATTATTCAAGTATAATATGCCTACAATTATTCAAGTATAATATGCCATTCATTATTCCTTGATCCATTCCTCTCTTTTTTAACATGACAGTGATGCAAGCTCAACATTGGAATTCACCTAATGTATACTTGGTATGTAACCATTGCATGATAAACTGTTACAATCAAGATAACAAGTATACAAAAATAATGAAATATCAACTATGAATAGCCCAAATCATGTCAAAATGTCAAAGCTGATAATAACCAAAAACTAATCATTGGCCATCAATGGTTAAAATGGCCAGTTAGCCATATGCTTTATGAAAGCCATCAAGAGAACATTGTGTTCTTATTATACAAAGATTGGAGATTAGCAATATATAATGGTTAGATTTTGAGTTTAAATTCCTATTTGGCTGAAGCATGCAATCTTTTTGAGTTTCATTTTATTCACTGAATGTCATAACAGGCAACTCTCAACCATTATATATTCTTTTATTGACTCTTATATATGTCAGTCTCTCCAACACATGGGTCACTATACAGTTATTTACATGTGTTTTATATACAAATATACAGTCATAAGCAAAATGGAAAAATACAAAATCATTACATCATGATTCTAATGTAGTGTTGATGTATACATTCAGACTGGAAACACCTTTTCAGATAGGCTTGACAAACATGATTGCTACAAAATGTACATTCTATGATACAAAATAAATTTACAAATATTTACTAGATATGAATGCTCTTACATTGTTACAATCTATGAGGAATTTGGCAAAATATTTTAATATGTTAATTTTGCTGTTCATGATCTCCCTTATTAAAAATTCAGGCATTAAGGTGCTAATAGGAATATTTTCAGCTAGTGTTTTGAAGAATATTGCTCTCTGGTTTGTATAAGAAGGGCAGTAAAAAATTAAATGTAGTTCATCTTCTATTTGATTTAGGTTACAATTTAAACAGAGTCTATCTTTTAGTTTTTGACCAAAACACATTTTATCAAATCACTCTTTATTTTGAACTTAAATGACAGAAATAACCAGTCAGTAGTACAGTAATGGTATCCTTTTGTCAAAGACTGCACCAAATATGTGAAAAACGCCAGATTGGAGAATTATGAACAGCAAAACATAAAATTCTGATTCAAAACTTTTCCCCTTCAACGTAATCATGTAAAGCACATTATACTATATATCTTTTCGTTCTAAACAAGCTTCTATTTTACTATATTTCATTAAAATGAGATTTTGCATCTCTGAAAGAAAGCCTTATTTATCGACTCCGGGGCGTTTTTTATAATATTATGACTCCTAAAATAAATGATGTTATTTGAAGATACTGATATTTTGATCTGACCCCTAACCAGTCGCATTAAGTGCAATTGGCCACACACAAAGGGAAAATGTTATAGTATCCCAACAAAAGAAAATAAACACATTTAATTGTCTGCAGAAAGCTTTTGCACCATGCACACACCTTTTTCACACCATTTCTCTCGCATTCTTCTTGATAACATCATTTTCTTTGCTGGAATTTGAATTTGAATCTGCATAATTTTCTTTGAGACTCTATATTATTTGAAGGAAGTACTGATTTCATATATTGTATCCTCACACACAGTTTTCTACTCTTACCAAAACTGTACATCTACATTTAATTTAACTTTTGTTGAGCTCAAAGAAACATACGTAATTCAAAAAGTAGACTGGCTCAGACTGCAATACATACAGGAGAACACTAATGAAATATCCCAAATGAGCAAAAACCAGAAAAGGAATAGGACTATCAGTGTAAAATTGCAGAATACCCACATGTAGACATATGAAGAAGGTATTTTATCGCTACAAGTAATTGAAAATCAGGCACATAAATACAAGCATACTAGAAAATATTTAAGTAGCCTATCTACAAAATTCCACAGTAGGTAGTTTACATATCTCAGCTATCTAAAAATAATGAGATTCGTTTTTCATTCCTGATAGAAGAAAGTTGTAATTGATCTGTTAATTTCATATAAAACCATTTTGGCCACTTTATAAAAGCAACATTTTAATGCATAATCAATATTAAATTATGAGACAGGTGTATTCAAGTAGTTTCTAGTGTTTATCCAAGTCAAATATTTCCCAATATTCATATCTATATCACTCAATTTCTCTCTAAAATTCCCATGCACTGCCTGATTCCTTGCATTTCTAAACAATGTGTGTTGATTACACGTGTTTCTATTTTATTTCTTACTATTACAAAATTTCAAACATTATTTTCCATATCAAAACATGAGCATGATGGAAGTTTTTTTGCAGAGCATTTAATTAATGATGTGCTAAGTGACTTACCTTCCCCCAGCTGAAGATACACAGTCGGGATTCCTCACCGAATTGCCACTTACATTGCCGGTCTGAATCATACAGTTCCCCGGGTAGTTTATCTGGAAACTGAAGCTCTAGGGGCACTTCCTGGGGCACATTGTTCAAGCAGCGTGATTGATTTGATCTGAAATAGATAGAATTGTTTTCCCTTATAAGTCCAAACGCCACCAGCAGAACTCTTGTAAATAATGCAGCTTTCATTGTTTATGCTTTGTTAGTGTTCAGTCTTCCAGTTATGTTTACATCTTCTCACTTTCTTAATGTCAGTTTGTCATTTCATATTGAATTCCTCACTTTACATTGTCTCTCTATAATGTTAACTTTTAGTAAATGAATTAGTTGTCATTTTTTTCTAATAATCTCCCTAATTTTAGTTTTCTTGACTCATTAAGTGATTATTGACTAAGAATGTGACCATGAAAAGAATTGAAACATGAACATATCATTACATCCAATGTTTATAAAATATCTATTGTTGTTGTAGGACATGCTAATCCAATGTTAATCCAATCCAGCTAATCCTAATCCCCCTCTGTATAACTCCCCCTGCCACTTACAGCCAGTGAACTATCATGTATGCTTCTCTCAATATAAGGTAAATAGAAGCTAAGTACAGGCTACTTGGAACTATGTCAGACCTTGCAAATTCTAACACATTCCCGTAAATGTTGGCATACAACACACATTAAATGTATACCACATCATAAACATTCTAAAAAAGGATGATTGAAATAAACATGTAAGTTCAATTAGTATTTTGTATGTTTAATTACAAAATACAGTCTTATAAACTAATTCAAGGTTTATAATAATTATATTCAATTTGAACTTCTGTGAATGAACTTATCTGTTATTATGTGTGATTGTAGTGTAATCTTATTTGGATTGGATTGCCAGCTCAAAGATGTCATTTTTAGTAACACTGTCTTTTGGTTCTTATTGCCTCTAGTGACCCCTACCTTTACCCATCAACTATGACAGGATATAATAAATTGAAAGCAGGAAGCATGACAATACATGTATGTATAGGATTTCTGGTTTATCTGTTCCATCTGCCACATTCCAAATAATTGATGAAGTGTTTTGCTTTCTTGTGTTTCCATATGTTAAGAGTGTCAACCATAGTCTTGTTCACTTTATTTCATGCTAATTTCTTGTTTTAAACACTTCTAATTGCCATTTGAGAACATGGCAACCACCTTCTGATTCCTCTCAAAGAAAAGATCCATCATGCAAAAGGTCTACATCTCAATGACCACTAGTCCAGAGTGCTAATTCATCCCGCTTTGTGTATTTCTATCAAATATAATCTCAATTTTTTGTGAATTCCTCAGCTACACAAATACAATTGATGAACATTTTGTTGGTCAACATTGAACTAATCTACAATCTAACTTTTCTTCTCTATTGCTGTCGAAATAATGAACAGCACATTAATTTATTGTCAGGTATAAGAGCCCCCCTCCAGGTAGACATGTAGCTATAATATGACCATTAACATTTTAATGCCTCTACACTCTTAACAATGGGTCACCTTTTAGTTTTTATTCACCCTGGCTCCATAAAAGTAATGGCTGCAATATATTCAATTTGTTTTACAATCAGAAAAAGTGAGTACCTGCAGTAGGTGGTTGCATGCTATATTCAGCTAGAATGGTTTTCAATTATGATATTCAGTGTAATGTTTTAAAGGTATTATAAGTAATAATGACAAAATCTTTTTTTTGATAATGACAATTTTTTCTTACTTGAAATGTGGGCACTTGTTAGCTTGTGGATCCGCCAGTGTAATAGTACCGTATTCGCCGTAATACATGTAAGAGCCCAGGGCGCCCATATATGAGAGAAGTCAAAAATCCCCGGGAATTTCAAGTATGTAACAGCATATTTTTACAATAATGATAGTATCGTTATTAGAGAGAATACAGTAATGACAAAATATCTTTCACCTTATTTATTGGACACCCTGTATCTTCAATATTTCCACTATAGACTGTTAGATATCGATCTAAAGTTATATCTTGTTTTTTTAATTTGATGACATATCATCATTTTTCGTGTAAAAGTCATGTAAAAGTCGAGAAATCTTAAATAGAAACAAGAAAGTTCACCACCTTGACATGACCTTGACGATCGTTAAGTTAGTAAAATGTCGAAACAAAACTTTGAAACGTGATCATTTCCTATATTCATTATGGACTATTTTGAGATAATATTAGCTAAGTATGATGTGGAAAGCATCCACTGATAGATATTCATCGGGAGGATGCATCGATTTACAAAATGCGTATGTTTTCTGCATTTTAGTGTAAGTATTCTATTGTTGCCCACTATATTTCTTTGGAAATTTGATTTTTTTCAGATATATTTGTTAATACTTGGTCATTCCTCGTTATTTCTTGAACTCTGTGAAGCGGGGTTGGGGCTTATTAGGGGTGGGCTCTTAATATGGCGATTACGGTATGTAACTTATCTTCAATGATTTAGAAATTGTAACAATTTTTGATTATGATGTCACAATTCACAAAAACAGATATTACAATCTAAAAATGAAGCAATTCATTCAAATTGACATCTAATTTATCTGTCTCTATCTGTGATAATATCTCTTCAATCTCAGAAATCTCATTACCTTACATCACATATTCATTTCTGAAACTTTTGCCCTCATTCACGAATCATTCCAACCTCATTTGAAAACTTGCATCTTCAACATAGAGAACAATGTCTAGGCTACATATGCAAATAACATTGATACTTTTGAGAGATATAAGTAAATGATGGGAAAATAAGGGGAAATAAAAAATTGAGCCTAAATTTATAGAAATTATTAAAAATCTGCAATTTCAAAAACTGTTTTTAAGGCAACATATCACATTGGTTCATATTTGCTCTTTTAAATAGTATACATATGAGTGTCCCATTTTAATTTGCTCACCCTGTATACAGCAGAATGTTTAGCATTTGTAAGAAATGAGATGTTGAGTATGTATGGGTTGTGCATTACACTGCACTGAGTCTCCAATGTGTGAGAATTAGATTGCTACTGTTTATCTGAAGGAAACATATCTTTCGCATATAATACTTACTTATCTGAATAGATTAAAATACAGTGAGTAATATCACATGGGATGAGAGTACTTTTTCCCACAGTCATGTCACAATCAATGAAATTCTTTAAGCAAATATTTCAATTTTCACCTACTGTATGTTAGATAATCCTTTTTAGATACAGTCCTAATAATCTGATATTTACACCTTGAAGTGAAGACAAGTGTCTGATCGAGTAAATAATCATATCATGTTCAACCTAATACCATCTTGGTTTTCAGAACTGTGAATGAAATACACATGTATCACATGTATGAATCTAATAATCCATTAATAATAGAATAAATATTGTTAGTAAGTTGGGAGAAATCGTTTTGGGTGATTTTCTTTCACAATAGAATTTAGGATCAAGTAAAGTTGAAGTTTTATTATCAATTCCACCAACATTATTTTGTTTTATAGATATGATTAAGACCAGTTTTCTTTTAATGCTATATTCTACTACATCCCTGACCAATGAAAACCTATTTTGCAATGTATTGGTATTATAATCATTGGGTTGTTTTCCTTTCTTCCTATATGTGTTCTTTGTATATCTTGGCCATGTTATTGTAACACCTATATGCAATATACAAATAAATAAATAAAAACATATCCCTTCAAACTCTCAAAACCTTTTCTGAGGTTATGGGGTTATGCTAATATTTAAAGCAAGTTGGTATATATAATGTCAGCATGCCAGTAAATTACAAAGCTCTATAGTGTGGAATAGTGAGAAACATGTTGATGAATACAGTAGATGTAGCTAGTGAGAAAAAGTGGGGACCAATAGAAAATAAAACCAATCAGCAAAGAATTAAGTTTGAGAATATTGGGATATCACTAAAAATCGCTATTGTGAGAAGTCTGTTTACAATCTGTAACTATGAGATCATTGAGGTACAGTAGCATAGAGAGCAGACTAAGACAAGCACACTAAATAATTACATAATATTATTGTCTGCAGTTAAAATTAATTGCATGTTGACGGTTGCCATAGAAATGATGTAGATAAATGTTGTCTTTTGGCAACTTTGCACTTTCCCATGATCAGAAGTCTTACTACAAGTGTATTTGAATAAATTCTGTGCCTTGATGCCATTCCAGCTATGCTATGGGAAATATGAGAGAAATTAAAAAGATTCCCTGAATTTGCTTGTCCCGTTCCATTCCTTTCTTAAATCTGAATGAGGCTTTGATTTCTGCATTTCTATATGTTTAGCCTCCAAGCCTTATTCAACTATGGACTTAAAGATATAGAACAAAGATTTATCTTTGCCAACTCACTTTTCTCCAATCTTTGAGTATTCTTATATTACAAAAATGAAATTTTCAACTTGTGAAGCCAAATGTTATATGAACTTTGGGGAATCAGCTTTGATCTTTGAACTAACAGTGAGCACCTGAGCAGCCCTGTAGCCTCCTGGTAGCAGGTCATAAAAACCTCATGTTACAGCTGGCATTTCAAATTGTTATTTATCAAATGATGAAAATTAAAAAAATCCTGATGCTTATCATGTAGTTGGTTTAAGGGGAGAACCATTGGGCTATAGATTTTGTCCTACTCTTTTTTTATACCCTGGAACATTTTCTTGTGAACCTAACAAACATGTAGCAGGCAAAAGGTATTTCAATTCTAATATAGGGAGGGGTATAAGTATTTTGATGGTTTTTAATGGGATGGGACAAGTTGGGAATTTGTAAGAGTAGAGACTTTGCTATAAGCTTAGGCTTCTTACATATTCAATGATAGCATTTCAAATATGCCCAAGTTTACTAGATTCTTGCACAAAATGTGGATTGGGAGTGGTTGTGCTATGGTGACCTTCGGACACTCAGAAGTGGGTTTGTCACCAAATTGGCTACTCTTAAGGACTCATAATGATTCAGAGGGTCCCAAGGAACATTTTTATAAATATTTCATTGATGTACTCGAAATGTCATTTAAACACCTATAGAGAGCCGTTCTATAGGCTGCTAAGAAATGAACTTGTCACTGTAAGGGTCGGGTCGCTTAAGAGTGGTTCATTTTCA